CAATACTGAGTCATCTAGAGGTTACCTCTGGTATATCAGCGTGCATGCGGCAGAGCCTGGGTCACTCACTAATGAAACTGGGGGGCTGGAGAGGGCACAGCTGGACCACCCAGCAGGGGCCCAGCATCGTGCCCCGAGGCCCCCATACAGGCCATGCACGCTCACATGTTAAACCCAAAGTGAGAATAAGAGACCAGGCTGGCTGTCAGGGTGACTGCACTATGGGGACCCTGCTGGGAGCTGTCTCTCTGTCTCTGTCTCTCTCTCACGTAAGAGATAAATAGGGCCGGCATGTGGCATGGTAGTTAAGGCAGCTGGACTCCTGCATGGCTGACTGCGGTTCGAGTCCCGGACCTGGCAGCTTGCTTTCTCACTTTCCTTCTCTCTTCCTGGTCAACTTCAAAAAAACAAATAAAATAATGACAATGAGTAAAATTAAATAAAAATCATTAAAAATAAATAAATGGGGGAAACACAAATGAATAAAAGAGATGTAACAAGTTATTAAGATAAAATGAAATCCAAAAAAGAACTACAACTCTAGTAGTCCAAAAGAAGGCAGGAAGGGTGGGGGTGGTGATGGCAGAACATAAAAGGAGACAACACGTGATAGTTTAGTTATATTAAACTGCATTTGTAGAAAAAAGCAAGACTTAACCACATACTGCTGACAAGATCCATTCTAAATACAATGGCACAGATGAGAAAAAGGCAGAGGGACAGGATCCGTGCCTCACGTAGCCATGAAGACAGCTAGCGTTGCCACACTCATTCCAGAACGAGAGACAGGATGAGGGATGAAGAGCGACATCAAGAAGCTCTGGCTGTTCTACATGACCACCCCTGGGGACGAAAGTCCGACCTCACTGTTTACTGTCGGCCTACTCGCGCCCTCCCTGCCGGGCCCACCTGGACGAGTGGGAAGACAGGCAGTGGCCCCCATCCCGGGGGCAGGCCAGGCGGGCCCTGCGTGCTCTCTCACGCCACTTCCGAACCAGGGGTGGGGGTTACTGCTCCCCTCCCCAGAAGTAGTAAAACAACCCCACGCTTTGCAGGCGTGCAGCATCACCTCAATTCGAAGCCCAGCTCGGGCGTCCCTCCCCCTTCTGCAGAGAGCTACACTGCCAGGGCCTCAAATGCACAAAGATAAAACTGACAGAATGGGCAGAGGAACGGTCCAAGCCAAATGACTGGTACGCAGCCCTCTAATGACAGACTGAAGTAGACAAAAAATCAGTAAGGTCAGGACCAGCAGGTGGCATGGTGGTTAGGGTGCTGGACTCCCACAGGGCCGACCACGATTCAAGTCCCAGACCTGGAGGCTTAAACTCACGCCGGGTGCGTGTGCATGCGTGCTTTCCCTTTTTCTCTGCTGAATTACGATAATAATTTAAAAAATAAGTAATTCTTCTAAAAAAAATCAGTAACGTTAGAAAAGGCACAGGTGCCAGCAGGTGGTGTGATAGTTAAGGCACTGGACTCCCACATGGGTGACCATGGTTCAAGTCCTGGACCTGGCAGCTTAAAACTCACACCAAGCCCATGCGTATGTTTGCCCAAAATCCTAAGAGGATAATGGAAGAGAAGGAATTGCAGCATGGCCATCCCCAGGAGGGTGATTTCTTACTTTCCCTCTCTGTCTCTGTCTCCCTCTGTCTAGTGAGCACATACATGGCAAAGAAAATCTTAGGAAGAAAAAAGAAACATTATCAACCAGTTTGACTAAATCGTTAATTATCCAACATTCCATTCAACCACCACAGAATACACCTTTTTTTATTTTTTGTTTTTGTTTTTGAGAGGTTTTTCACTATAGGGTATGTGCGCTCGCCAGACAGACAGAGACAGACAAAGAGACAGAAAGCAAGAAATCACCCCCCAGGGAGGATGGCCACGCCACAAGCCCTTCTCCATTCTCCTCTCGGGATCTTGGGCATGCACGCACACGCGCCCGGCGTGAGTTTTAAGCCACCGGGTCCGGGACGCGAACTGCAGTCGACTACATGGGAGTCTAGCGACATAGCCATTATGCTAACTGCTGATTTCCGACCTTTTTTTATTTTTAAAGAGATTTTTGCCTTAGGGCAAAGGCATTCACTGTAGAAAGACAGAGACAGTGACAGGGAAAGTGAGAAATCACTCCTCAGCGGGGACAGCCTTCTCCTCCCAGGATCTTGGGCATTCACACACACAAGAGGCATGATTTTCAAGGCACTAGGTCTGGGACTTGAACTGGGGTCAGTCATGTGGGAGTCCAGCGACGTAACTGCTATGCCATCTGCTGGCGCAACTTATTTTAAAGAGCACATGGAATTGTCACCAAGATAAACTAAGATGCTGGGCCATAAAACAAGTCCCAATAAATTTAAAACGATTAACATTATTTACACTATGTCTCCAACTATAACGAAATTTAGAAATAAATAAAAGCTCTAAGATTTCCAAGTATTTTGAAATTAAATACACTTCTAAATAATGCTGGGTCAAAAAGGAAATCATGGGCCAGCCAGTGATGTGGAAGTTAGGTGGCTGGATCTCACATGGTCGACTGCATGGTTTGAATCCCAGACCCGGCTGCTTGAAGAACACCCTGGGCATGTGTGCATATGTGCCCCAAGTCCCGAGAAGAGAGTGAGAGAAAGGGGTTCTGGTGTGGTCATCCCCACCAAGGGGTGCTTTCTCACTCTCTCCCTCTCACTCTCCAGTGAGCACACGAGCCCAATAGCAAAAAACTTTAACAAAACAAAGAAAAGAAATCATGGCCAAAAAAAGAAAAAAAAAGGTGTTAAACAGAAATCATGGCAAAAGAAAGTATTATGAGCAGAATTTAAATAAAAACATAAAATTTGTGAGATGCAGCTAAAGCAGTACTTACAGGGAAATTTAAATTCTATTAGAAAAGGAGAAAGGTGTAAAATTAGTGATATAAGCTTCTACCTTAAATACCAAGAGGACAAATTAAACCCAAAGGATAAGGGGAAAAACAATGGAGGTTTTAAAAACCAATTAGATAACAGACAACAAATAGTTAAACTCAGTGATCGGAAACTTTTTTTTATTGTAAACCGTTATCAGAAAAGTGCACTAACAAAAATACAGCAAAGATTTAACCACCATTTAACTACCACTTGACCAAGAAAGAAGACATGGTCCTCACTTTTTTCCTTTTTATCTTTCTTCCTTTTTTTTTTTTTCCCCCATAAGGGTGCATGCACTCACCAGACAGAGCACCAAAGTAAGACATCACAACCCTACCCCCGGGGAGCTGGCCACACCACAATCCCCTCTTCTCCATTAGCTTCTTGGGATTTGGGGCATGCGCACACGCATGCGCGTGCGCACACACACGCACACGCACACACACGCCTGGTGTGATTCTCAAGCTTCCGGGTCTGGGCTTTAACTGCAGTTGGCCATGAGAGTCCAGCAACTAACACACCACCTTTTTGTTTTTCAAACTTTTTAAAATTGAGTTTATTTAGACAAACCTATACCTTTGTCTTTTGTGTATTCCTTTCTTGCTTAGGAATATGACCCATAGAGGAGTTCAGGTTTATAGGGCTTAGTTTACCTACTTAACCCTCACTGCCTATGGAAATACTTTCTAACAGTCCAGAGAGAGCATTCTACCTTTACCCCTATGCGTTTCAAGGCAGACTTGAACTTTAGAAGAATGTGATTCAACGCCAGAGAAAGAAGGTCAGATACAAAGACTTTATTCACACATGACAGTGAAAATCAAGGTGGAGGTGCCAGTAGATGGTGTAATGTTATGTTGCTGAACCCCCACGGAGTACGCAAAATCCCCAGGAGAGAATGGAGAAGAAAGGCCTTAAGGCCATCCCCCCAGGAGGTGATTTCTCACTCTTTGTCTCTCTGTTTCTGTCTTACAGCAAAAAATTAAGGAAAAAAAAAAAATCAAGGTAGGAATTTTAGATAGAAAAAGGATAAATGGATATTTAAAATGTAGTCATATATGCTTAACAAAATACTCATGCATTAAGTTTTTCTAGATCTTAAAATATAGAATCCATTTTCTCATAGCACTGTTTGGAGAGGTAGGTAAAGAAAAAAATGGAAAATATTGGGTGGTCAGAAGTGTGTGTTTTTTCGGGGCCAGCAGCTGGCATGGTGGTTAAGGACGCTGGACTCCCACATGGCTGACCATGGTTCAAGTCTGGACCTGTGGCTTGCTTTCTCACTTTCTCTCTTCCTCTCTCTCTAGTCAAATTTAAATAAATAAATAAAGTTGAATAAAATAATTAAAAAAAAAAAAAGAAGTGTGTGCTTTTTCATAGAAAAAATATGTCATGACTTTTCTGGCAACCCAATATGTTTTTGTGGTTCTTCCTCCATCTTGTCCCACCCCGGTCACTGTCCTTGTCCCTCTCAGATATTCATTATCCTTTTATGCAAATAACTTTCTTTTTTATTACAATTTTATCTAAGAAAGTACCTTTAAGATCTAGTTTTTTTTAACTTCTAACCATAATTCAATACATATTAATGGTGTCTGTTGGCTATTCACATTTCTCCCTTTGTTAAACATGCGCTCAAATCTTTACTGGGTTGTCTCTGAAAAGATCAATATGAAACTGGTAAACCCACAGCTACACTATCAAACCAAAAAGACTCAAATGACCAGTGTCAGCCACAAAAAAGGGGACACATGTACAGATCCCACAGATATTGAAAGAACAAAACAAAAATTAACTTCATGCCAATCAATAACACAGTTTACACGAGTAACTAAATTAGCGAGGTGTGTAGGAATGCTCCAAAGAAACACCTGAGAAAATTACTTACCTTTCAAAACACCTCAAAATTGTCCTTAGACCTATGTTAAAGGTGAGGACTACATAGCAATTCAGCACCCCAAAACTCTTTAGGTCCTTACGATGTGTGTTACTCATGAAGAATTCAAAATAATATCAGTCTTTTCTTAGAGTTCTACAATCTTTATTTGGCCTAGTGACTCTCAGAAAAATAGACAGGAGAAAGATCATAATTCCACCCTTTATTAGAAAAGGCCCAAAAAGCAAAATAATCATTGTGATTTGGGGGTACCAGGGTGTTCAGCTTAGTTACCTACAACATTCTTTCTCTCTGAAATTAGTAAAAAAGGCAAAGAGAAAAACAGTATTTATTATATGAAATAGATTCTCAAGGTACAAAAAGTAGTACTCAAGAATATATTTTTGGATATAAACTTTTCAGATCTGCAATCAGTAGCATTCAAAATTAGTAATACAATTACAAAGATTGATTTGTGTTTTAACAAAGTGCTTTCAAGGTTCATCATATTAGAATAGGCACCAGATTCAAAGGCATAAACCCACAGGGGCTCTCCGACCCCCTCTCACCCTTTGCAATCAGAATTTACAAAGGCAAAGACCAGAGTTCAGAGGGTTAATTTTCCCCCATAGCTTATTCAAGGTTGCTAAGTCAAGCAAAAGTACTGAAATATGTACAATAAGCACTTTTCATAGCAGAAAGACCACACCACTGAATGTAAACGAGAGCGCTCCTTCAGGAGGGAACGCAGGTGGAAGCTTCAGCAGAGTGAGACAAGCCCGTCCCCTCCTGTGGTGTGGACCAGCCTTGATCTGACACGGATGCCTCCGAAGGGTGCTGCAGCCAGCCGGGGACCAGACTGTCTCTTCTTTTTCCTTCTTTTGTCCCATTTCACCACAGCACATCACTACTAGAGGAACCTTGTTTGTTTTGCTCTGCGGTCGTCTTCTGTGGCTGTGCATCAGACGCGGTGTCGCTTTGCTGCGAACGTACACACTGCTCTTAGCTGTGCCCACACTGCCCTTTACACAGCAGAGCGTCCCGTCACGGGCCTCGCACCCTGGTTCCAGCCTCACCTACAGAAATCGCCTGCGCACTTCCGGCCCACTCGGCTTCTCAGCCCTGCTCACGATGGTGTCCCACCTTGTCTTCCTCAGGAGACCTGAGCAACCAGGCAAAGCTGAGGACCTGGAGGTGTCCCCAGCAGCTGGGGAGAGCTGGAAGCAGCCAGCGCGGAGCTCGTGCCTGCCCTGCGTGAACCAGGGGCCAGCCGCCACCACGCTCCTTACTCAACAAAAACCTCACGAGAACTCCAATTCGTAAGGTCGTTACCTGGCAAGTTGCATCATCTGACCTCCCAGCCACGTTTTCCGTAAGAAACTCACTTTCAGTCCTTTGCTGCCGTAGGAAGAGCTGCACAGACGGAGATCTGTCTTTAAGTCCAGCTGAAGGCCTACTCGCTTTGTGTTTTTAATGCTATCTGCAAATAAACTACTGCACACCTTAAACGTGCCAAGAAAATCTGGATTTTTAAATCACAAAACCTATGCCAAAAGTCTAGCAAATGGCTGCGGACGCCTGTCAATACTGATTGTTGTTGCTATTGTTTATCTGCTGAAAATGAGTTTTAGGATAACTGCCCATTTAGAGTATTTGTCAACCTGTGGTTGGCTGTCAGAAGCTTCAGGGGACAGAAGGCAGGCCCGGGGTGGCTGTCCCACAGGACAGAAGTCGGCCAGGGGCGGCGTTTCGACTTCCCTGCTGGTCGGTCTTGGCGCTCTTCCTGCCCGAGGCACAGCCCACTGGTGGCTGTCTGCTCCATGGGGTGTCAAGGACTGCCTGCACTTGGAGTGCATTCCCCTGCCCCTCTGCTCCCTGAGCACGCAGTGATGAGGGTGGGGGGCAAGGCCTCAGGCAGCCAGCCCACGGACACTGCAGGACTGAGACAGCCATCCCAGTAAAACTGAGACCGGGCAGCGCCTCGCCTTTCCAGTGCAGAACCAACAGCTCCCCCAAGTATGTTCAGAAAAAAGGGGGCCTTCCGGACAGCAGGCCTGGAGAGGGCAGTCGGGGAGCTGGGGGATGGCCTGCTGACCTGCCACCCAGCCCAGGCCTGGAGGGGGAAAGGCCATCGTGGGGTGTGCCCCCAGTGCACACCACGCATGCCCACAGGTGACAGTGTCTGGGCAGTGCAGCACCCACACTCAGCTGGAAGCAGAGCCTGGCTGAGGCCACGTGCCCATCTGCATGAACCACCTCCGTACAGAGACCCCTCACCTACAGCGGCTGGGGTTGGGGGAGGCTCGGGAGAGGGACACAACCCTGCGAGCCACAAAGCCCAAATGCCGACTCCAACTCATCTCACCCAGTTCAAGGGCTGCCTCTGCCTCTACCACTGCCGGGCAACTGACGGCAGCAGATGTGCGGTGGGCTTCCTCCTCCCTCGGTCCAGACAGTGACAAGTGGGGGCAAACAACGGCAGGGAGCTGGGGACGCAGGGTCTGCAGATCCGGGCTGCATCCTGCCTGGGGCTGGCTGAGCCCTCACCACAGGCCATGAGCTTGCAGGAGGAAGAGCCTTTAGCAAGAGCGATCTCCAGGGAGCCCCTCCCGGCTGCACCCCTGGTGGGACCTGGGCAGGCCCTCACACTCGGGGGTGGAGACAAGTGACCCCACCCGCAGCGTCCCTGGCGCTGGCTGAATACACCTGATCCACATCTGTTAGCTCCACTGACCTGACGCTCCAGAGACCTGCAGCCTGCCACCTTCAGAGGTTGCCAGCTGTCTCCGGGATGAATTAACACCCGCCCTTCACTGTGGCTGCCGCCGACTAGCCCTGCCACACACTGCCCGGTGGACATCTTGCAAGGACCCTGCAGGGGCGGTCACCCCCCTAAAACAGACTTGCAGGCCGAGGAACCAGAGGCTGACATGACTGTACGTGACCAAGCCACGGTTCACCAGGCCTGCTGGCTTCGAGCCACACACACTGCCACCATGGACACGGTGGATATATTTCAGAAGGCACTTTGCCTCCTGCCCCACGAAGCCCAGCCAGCAGTGAGGATGCGATGGCGGCACCTGGTAAGGGTGTGACTCCAGGCTGGTCAGAGCTCCCGAGTGACCACGGAGCCTCGTGTCAGATCCACAGAGGGGCAAGGAACCCTTCTGAGACCGGGGCCCAGGCTGTGAGAGAGCCCCAGCAGCCGGAGGGTCACAGAGGGTTTCCTTCCTGGCTGAAGACTTGGATGGGACGCCCTCGACAGCAGAGACAGGACGCGGGACGTCCAGCCCCTACCCAGGCCCCATAGGCAGGCTCACACCTCCCAGCTCCGCAGAGCCCGGTGGGTTCTTAGCCACAGCCAGGAGGGACTGGAGGTGCGGTCAGGAGCCTGAGTGGACCAGCTGCCCCAGCAGAGCAGAAAGGTGGCACTGCAGACTCCACACGTGGGGGGCTGGGGCTGTTGGGAGCCGGGCAGCAAGGAGGAGCTGACGGGCACACGAGGGACGGTGAGCGCCCTGCGGTCCAGAACAGGCTGCCGAAGCAGGGGGTGCGGGGAGGACGGGGTTGGGGGTGTCGCACACTGAGACAGGAACCAGACAAGGCCCAGACTTGGCTCATGGCGACAGGGAAGGAGGTTGTGGGTCATAGGAAGCATGACCAGAGACACCAGCTCACACAGGGGTCTATGTCAGGGCCCTGCTGGGCCTCGACTTCCGTACCACACAGAGGGGACGTCCCCACACGGTCACAGGCTCACAGCTGAGCCCATCAGGGACAGAAGAGCATGTGGTAGGTACCAGCCACAGCGGGGCCCACAGCCTGTGGTCCTCCCCTGACCTCGGCCCAGGCTCTCGCACAAACGTGGCTCCCTAAGGGCCCCTGGGCAGGCCTTCCACTTCGGCTGCTTCCACAGCCCACCTGCTCCCAGACCCCACTCCAGAGGAGAACGGAAAATAAATGGAATGGAAATAAATCAATTCAAAGCAAACACTCAGGAGTAATGGAGAAGAGTACACGGCAGCGAGCAAGCCTTTCCGCCTCCTGCTGGCCCTCACCCAGCGGCAACGGCAGCGTGCGCTGGGGCTGCCCCGTCCTCCGCCCAGCTGTCGGGTGCCAGGACACGGTAAAGGGGGGGCCGGGGAGGTTCTTCCAGATGCCCTCTGACGTCGCCGCAGGGCCATGGAGAGGCAGAGCCCTGTCCTCAGACACCAGAGAAGCGTGTGCTCACGGTGAGGTGGGATGGTCTCCATGCTGAGGGACAAGTCTGCACGCCCCCACTGTCCTCTGGTGCTGCGCCCCGTGGGGCTGTCCACTGCCATCGGACATCACTGGCTCCCCCGGTGCCCCCTTCCCAGGCTACTCCCGGGCTATTTAACAAGGTGCTTTTTGACCGAGACCCCACGGGACACCTCCCAAAGAGGACACGGGTGCCCAGGACAGACCCTGCTCTGGAAGACACAGAGCCCGCCTCTCGTTACGGCGCTATAGACAGCAGGGGTGGGGGCACCACTGCTTCCAAAAAGGGTTTGAGTCCAGAGCCACAGGCGCTGCAAGATGAAGGCCCATCGAGACGAGGGTCGGGAGGTTCTCACGAGGCCGTCTTCCCGGCTTCCAGCCAGGTCCTCCCCAGCAACACACGACCGCCGGCAATCAGGCGAGACACGCAGTGAAACACTTCTTCACTGCGTCCCTGGGGGGAGGAACGCACAGGTGAACGGCTGTCCCCCGGAGGGCTGTCCCCCTGACGGCTGTCCCCAGAAGGCTGTCCCCAGAAGGCTGTCCCCCGGAAGGCTGTCCCCCGGAAGGGCTCCTATGAGTGGTGAAGCTCCTGCATTGGAGTTTCCTGGGGACCAGAGCAGTGCATGGAGCGGGCACCCCACAGCCATGAGGTCAGCAGCCCGGCATCACACCCCGGCTCTGACACTCACTAGTGGCATCACCCTGGGCAGGTCGCCTATCCTGAGTTTGCAACTCCTCGTCCGAGGGGGGTATGTCCCACCTACGGCAGACCAGCTGTGGGGACCAGGGTGGCGGCATAGAACACTGCCCACGGGCCAGCCTCCCCACTGGAGGGCCAGCGAGAGGCCAGACAGTGCTGCTGCAGGTGACTGCCAGCCACATGCATAGGGCGCGGGAAGGGGGGGACACGGGGCCTCTCGTCCTTATAAGCAGCAGCAACTCCTGGGGTACCTTCGGAGCTCCCCACATGGGCTCACAGCCCTGAGCACCCGGACCCTGTGCTAGCTCTGTGCAGGCCCACCGCAGGCACTCCTGCCTCAGCGTAGGGACTGCAGGGAGAGCCGGCGGCCAGCTACTGCCCTTCCGGTGCCCTCCACCCGGCACTCCCACCTTTGTCCTCAGCCACTGCCCCACAAGGACACAGTCACAGGACGGGCGGGAGGACTCGGCACCTGCAGAGGGACACTGCGCTTCCCTAACAGGACGGCCCCCGCAGCCCTTCGGAGACCGGCTCAGTGAGACCAGCTCTGCGCTGGCGCCCTGGACGGGCTCCCTCACCGCACGGACCCGGCCGGTCTGCCCTAATGCATGTGTTAGAGGACCCGGGAGTCAGGCCACAAGGAACAGGGCTCATTTAGCTCCACCTTCTTCCCAGATGGACTGCCCATGGCAACCCTTCCCTCCATGTTGACACTGCATTTGGGGAACCCTGGGGGAAGAGCGCCCCTCATGGGAGCCCCAGGAGGAGGGTGGCACCTGGCTTGTGAGGGCCACACGTGCCAGCTGGTCCAGGCCACGTGAGGCCTGAGGAATGACATCACAGCCGCTCACGGTGAGACCTGGCACCTGCCCTGCCCCCAGAAGGGCCTATTGCTGGTTAACGCCACGCTATGACCCTCCTGAAATGTCTCCTCGTTTATGACAGGTGCCCATATTTTCATTTTCTGCAGGCCCTGCGAACTCTGTAGCTGATCCAAGCACCCAAAGAGATTCAAAAGTTGGGCAGGCTGATGGAAGTTCGGGCTCTGGCTTATTTCACATAAAAACCCAGTTGGCTGGGACACCCCAGCCCACCCTCTGCTCAGAGCCAGCACCTACAGCTGGCTGGGCCGCCTAGAGCAGGTCTGACCATCGTCCTTCTGGGGCCTATCACCCACCACCAGGCGCCAGCTGCCTCTCACTGATGGCTCCTTGCCATCTCCCCATCAGCTTCAAGTCACCATGACAACCACCTGGGACACTTGAGACGCAGCACTGCCCTTCCTCTAGCACTCAGGCGCGATGTCTCCCTGCTCGACAGGCTAAAGGGCTTGCTGCAGCCGACAGGCAGCGACCCAGGGCTGGGCATGGCGGGCTGCAGGAGCCAGGGCCAAGGTCACAGGCCAGTCTGGGGTGCCTGTGGAGAAGGTGCTTACAGAGGGAGCTATTGGGTGCCGGAGCTGGAAGGAGTCTCAGGGGAGGAACTCGTCCCCCCAAACCGCTGCTCAGGGAGCCCCGCCCTGCTCTGCTGCGCCCCCCCACTGCCCCGCAGGTGCTTCTGCAAGGTGCCATCGGTGGGACACTGCGAGCAAGCAGGTAGAAACCCATTCCCTCCACCTCCTCCTCATGATACAAAGTGATAGTCGCCTTAAAACAAAAATCCTACTCCCTGCAGCACCATGGTTAAGACCCGTGCGTGCATAAAAAGCCAGATCTGACACAGCTGGCCGCAGTTCAAGCCCTAAGCCCGGCAGCGTGAAGAACACACAGGCCCCTGTGCACACGTTCAAGGCCCTGATGGGCTGGAGAGACGACAGGGACTGCAGCAGAGCTCCATCAGGGCTGCTTCCCCTGGAGAACCCCTGGTGAGTGCGAGTACCTCTTGCAATAGAAAGAAAAAACAAACACCTCCTCAAAGCTCCAGGTCGGAGTGAGGCCGGGACTGAGCACCACTCACACCCCAGGCAGTGCCCCCAGACTGGAGCTGGTGGGCCTGGGTCAGCACCACCCTTAGCTGTGTAAGGAGGGCGGGCTGCGGGTGGGCCCTTAGCTTACTGATTGGGAAACAGATAAAGAGCTTTTGTCTATTTGGTGCAAAGACTTTGGTAAAGATAAATAAGCTAACACATGCTCTCCGTAAACCGAAAGGCCCAAGGCAAACATCACCAGCCAGAAATGCAGAAAGCATGTTTCCGGAGACAGTGCGTCTTACCTTGCAAATGGAATGTAGGACAGGCTGTACCTGCAGAGAAGACAAACAGAGCCCAAGGTCAGATCCGCGAGGGCAGCAGGCGACCACAGGCGAGCGGAATGGCTTCTGAGCCAGCAGCACATCTGCAGTGATGCATCCAGGCCCTCTCCTCCCAGCCCGAGGGCTGCACCTCAAGGCCCACGCATGCACATACACGCATACAAACACCGACTACTACTGCGTGCTGTGGCCACAGGAGGACAAAGGCCCAGGTGACAAAGGCCTCAGCCTCGTGGGGGCTGCTTTAGCCAGAGGAGCGCTGGCAGACTCCCTGAGTTAGGGCCGGCATGCCCAGGAGCCTTGTTCTGGAAGAGCAGTGCGGAAAGGCCCGAGCAGGTGCTGTGAGATTTTACGAATTCTCAGCAGAATTTAATTTCATCTAACTGAGGACACTTTCCTGCACTGTTCTTCATGGTAAAGGAAGATGAAAGCAAACAGAAAAGGGGAAGAGCAACTGCCGAGTGTGCTGTGGGCAGAACACGACACTACCGCTCTGCAAGACCCAGGCCTGAGGCTCCTTGGTAAATCCCGGGTAGCTCAGCACCACCAGAAGGGCATGATTAGGGATGAGTCTCTGGAACGCTGAAGAACCAGGCCTGGAGACCAGCGGATGGCGTAATGGTCAGGTGGCTGGACTCCCACACAGTCGACTGTGGTTGGAGTCTTGGTCCAGGCAGCTTAAAACTCACGCCAGGTGTATGTGCGTGCATGCCCAAAATCCCGAGAGGAGAATGGAGGAGAAGGGATTGCAGCGTGGCCATCCCCCTGGGAGGGTGACTTCATGCTTTCTGTCTCTCTGTCTCTGTCTCCCCGGCAAGTGCATGTGCCCTACAGCAAAAATATTTCTAAAGCGGAAGAACCAGGGCATGCGAGTCGAGATGGCCCTGAGCCGGCCGGTGGGTCCTGGGAGCAGCAGAGCACTTGGGGGATGCCCGCGCTGGCAGAAACGGTGCCAGTCCCGAGTCTGTTCAAGGACTGAGCCTGTGCCCCTGCTCCACAGTCTGTGAGCAAAGGCAGGCAGGTGGGACCAACTTCCTTCCCCAGAAGAAAACAAACTCCAGCCATCGACCACGTGCCTTCAGTACCAACCACCAAACACGTCCACGGTAAACCAGGCCAGGACTCCTCTCCGCTCTTGCTGCTACCGTGCACAGCTCACGTACGTGTGAGCTCAGAACATTCCGGAACATCGCTGGAAAGTGCAGCTGGCCCTTGAACATGGGGGTGAGGGGTGCCGACTCCCCACATAGTCAAAAATCGGCACACTGCACACGTGGTAGTTTTTAACTTCTCCTTTTCTGCTTGTTTTTGTCTTCTTTGACAGTGAACAGAAACACAGTACAGAAGTTTCCCAACGGGATAGAAATTAAACTCGGCTGACGATCAGTAACTTCTGACTCCCCAACACTTACCTACTAATAGCTACTGCCTAGAAGCCTTCCCGATCACATAAACCGTGGACTAGCACCTACTCCATGCGGTGCACACATTCACACTATATTCTTACGGTGAGGTAAGCTCGGTAAAAGGACATGTTACTAAGGAAATCACAAGGAAAGCGCATGTACAGAATTTACTGAAGAAGTCACATATAAGCACACTGGCGTGGTTCAAGCCCGCACTGCTCCAGGGTCGACTGCAGGCTGCTCGAAAGCCCTAATCTGCTAGGGGGAAGGAAGAGGGGCGCTGAGCCGGCATCTCCGAGCCCATTCCGTCCATGGATCTCTGGGATGCACTCTTTCGCATCGTTACAAACACGTTCTCCAAGATAGACGAGTCACGTCTATACTGCGAGAGGCAGGCGTCACCCTGACTGACTCCGTATTACAGAAACGTCTCGGAAGCTACAGATTTCATCCCTGCCGCCCCCTCGTTTTGCCGCTGACGTGCTCGCAAGGCCGTGAACCTGCAGCCCCATCACGGCTGGAACCAGCTCCACAGCCTACTGGTCAAGGGACCGGGTCCCACACGGCCGACCTCATGGTTCCAAGCCTAGATCCAGCAGCTTGACCACCACGTGGGCACATGTGCATGCCTGCCCCAATCCCAGAGGGGTGGAGAAACAGAGGAGACAAGACAGCAGCACGGCCAGTCCCCACAGGGGGGACTTCCCCTCTCCCTGTACCCCACCCTGGGTCTCTCTGGGGAGCACATGCACCCTCCAGCACAAACAAAAACAAAGTGGTCTCCAGCAGCCCTCTGACCCCATTAGGCCCAGGCTACAATCTCCCAGTCTACCTCTGGGCTACCCAGAGCAACGGGTCAGCACTGTCGCCCACGGCAGCCCCTGGCCTCAGGGTGCCATGTCTGGATGGCTCCCACCACCGGCTGACAATCCCCTTTGTCCTTCTGTTAAGGGACGCTGCCTTCCCCTGCCACATTCCTCTTCTGAGCTCTATCTGACTCACAAGCCTCTATTTACCAGCTCCGAAAACACGTCTATTGTCCCCGCGCTTCCTAGACAGATGGAATAGCACCGTCTGACACTTCTCCCAACCCACCGAGAGTCCGGCAGAAAACAGTCCGGTGGGCAAACAGCTGTAGTGGCCCTGGGGACCACAGATGCACCTGCTGGCAGCGGCCATGGGTTCTGCACTGCAGCCCAACCTCGTCTGCATCGCTAAAGGGCTCCTGCGTTTTCTGAACCCTCCTACGCGCAACCTGTGGGCCTCAGCTCCCCCACTCCCTCAGTCAGAGGTCTACGTGGGAGATCCTGTCTACAAGGTTACTTACCATGTCAAGGCTAGAGACTGCAAAATGCAGAAGATGAGCGCGAGTCCCTGTTTCTTCCACTGAGAGAAAAACGATATGGTTACAGGAAAGTATGTGACAAGGGGCACAAGCTACAGGGGATGGGACGCTGACACACTTACCCAAAAGGCAGAACACAGGGTGAGGGCGAAGCACAGCTAGAGGGAAAGGAAAGGCTCTTTAATAGGACGATGACGTTGGGAAAGAAGCAAGCAAAACCGTAAAGATCTATGCTTGGCAGGCTTAGCACCCACTACCTTGCAGTCGGACTCCGAGAGGCCCTGGCAGCCAAAGGCAGCCTCCGCCTCTAAGCACTCAAGGCCCTGCGCACCCACAAATGGCAGGGGTTTAAAATCCCCGTGAAATCCAACTGGTCAAGAGAGACTCACACAGACTCAAGAGAAAGGTGCTCTTGCATGTGTGCATGGAACCCGTGTCCAGCACACACAGCACTTTCCAGCCTACCTGGTCATCCGTCCAGCTTTTCTTTTTTAAAAAACTTTATCCATTATTATTATTATTGTTTATACATTCAATCACTATACATCATTTAGATTGCAAAGAGACTTTACCCAGCACGATATACACCTCAGTCCAGTTGGGAATACTATACACATCCTCATCGACAGATAATAAACCAGATCTTGTCCGCAAATGTCTTACTTTTCTATTTTTTCCCCCAAATTTCCTTTCCTACTCTCTTCCCCTCCCACACTCTCCTTCCACTTTGTCTCTCGTGTCCATAACAATTTTTAATGCTTTTATGTCCTCCAGCCTTTCGGTCTCTACCATAGACTGCGGACAGTCGGTGTATGTTAAGTGGAGACATGCAATGTCTCTCTTTCACTCAGCAACAGATCTTCATATTCATCCACTTTCTATCAAATTCCAGGGCCTTGTTGTTTTTGGGGGCTGAACAGTATTCCATGGAGTATATGTGCCACACTTTTCCAATGCATTCATCTGTGTGTGGACATTTGGGTTGCTTCCATGTCTTAGCAATTGTGAATAACGCTGTAATAAAAACAGCTGTGCAAGCGCTTTCCAACAGAGTGCTCTCCTGTCCTTCGGGTAGATCCCCAGGAGTGGAACTGCTGAATCACACGGGAGTTCTATCTGAGGAACCTCCATATCGTTCTCCACAGTGGCTGGACCAATCTACATTCCCACCAACAGTGTAGGTGTGGAATATATATGTGTATACACACACACACACACACACATATACATATATACATATATACACACGCATACATATACATATATATACACATATATACACACATATACATATATACACGCACATATACATATACATATATACACGCATACATATACATATATACATATATACATATATACACACGCACACATACATATACATATATATACACATATATACACACATATACATATATACACGCACATATACATATACATATATACACGCATACATATACATATATACATATATACATATATACACACGCACACATACATATACATATATATACACATATATACACACATATACATATATACACGCACATATACATATACATATATACACGCATACATATACATATATACATATATACATATATACACACGCACACATACATATACATATATATACACATATATATACACACACATACATACACACATATACATAGATAGATAGATAGATATACACACGCACACACACACATATACATATATATACACATATATATATACACACACACATACATACACACATACATATATAGATAGATAGATATACACACGCACACACACATATACATATATACACACACACATACATATACATATACACACACATATACATATACATATATACACACATACATATACATATATATATACACACACACACACACACACACCAAACTCCACACACCTGTGTTTTACCTCCCGGACACTAGCTTCTGGAACGGACGGGCACAGGAGGACAAAGGCCAGCAAGATGGCATCCCCCAGGCTGCAGGCCAGGTATTTGTTTACATGTCACCTGACACTTCTCAGTCCTTTCTTAGAAAGTTCTTTCTACAAGAGACTGGCCAGGCCCTCTGTACCCTGGGCCGAGGTAATTACTAGATGCAGAGAAAACGCCCTTGTGCCCCTGGCTACCCGCAGTGGGTTATTATGAGTTCACTCAGGATGAAAGGAAAGAGGAAAGAGGCCCTTTGGTTTACGAAAAGCGTCCACACAGCAGAAATAAACCTCCCACCTGAGGGGCGCCCCCGGAGGGAACCTTACCAGCACCATAATGGTCGCGATCAGGCGTGTGGGCTCGAACATCCGTTTCAGCTGCTTCACGGGGCCCATGAGGAAGACGGTGCTGAGGGCAAGCACACACGAGCCTTCAGACCAGAGCGGGAGCACCTGGCGCGCCCCGCACCCCGACTCTCCCGTGGCAGTGACAGCAGGCCAGGCGGTCACCCGTGTAGGCTGTGAGCCGTGCAGGCGCTGTGCTGACTTCCCTTACAGGTGAGGAAACCAAAGCCCAGAGGGGTGGCCGGGCAGGGCCACCTGGTGGGGACGATGGAGCCGGGCCGTCGAGCACGTGAGCCCATGAGCCCACTCTGGAAGCACATGCACCTGAGGCCAGATGATGCCCTCCCCGTGACAATCCATCCATGGAAACAAACGAACCAAAAAGAGCACGCCGGGACAGCCGCGGCCTGGTGGTTAAGCGGCTAGATTCCAAATGGCTACCGTGCGGTTCAAGTCTTGGGCCAGGCGGCCTGAGGAACGCGCAGGTGCGTGTGCGTGCGTGCCCAGTCTCAGCTGAGAGGCGGAGGGGGGCTGCGGCACGGCCATCCGCCACAGGGCGTGCTCTTCCTCTCACTATACATAGGAGTCTCCCCCCTCTCTCTGCCTGCTCACCCCACAAATGCGCCTGCCCTCTGGCAAATTACAAAAGAAGACCACACCAGGCCAGTCAGTGGCCCGGCAGTTAAAGTGGCTATATCCCACCCGGCCCCCATGTGGGTCAAGTCGCAGACCCAGTGGCCTGAGAATCACGCCAGGTGCATGTGCATGCTCGCCCAAAATCGCAGAAGAAAAACGGAGGAAAAGGGACTGCAGCGTGATCATCCCCCACAGCGCGTGCTTCCAGGAAGATACAGACAGAGACAGAGGAAAGAAAGTGAGAAAGCAAGCTGCCAGGTCTGGGACTTGAACCACAGTCAACCCTGTGGTAGTCTAGTACCTTAACCACCAGACCACCTGCCGGGCCACAGAGCATGTTTTCTTAACTTTCCCCCTCTCTCACTCTCTATTTCCCTATCTCCCTCTATCTCCCTATCTATCTCCCTCTCTCTAACTCCTTATCTCTCTCCCTCTATCTTCCTATCTCTATTTCCCTGTCTCTATCTCCCTATCTTCCTCTATCTCCCTATCTCTCTCCCATCTCTATCTCCCTCTCTCTCCCTCTATCTTCCTATCTCTATTTCCCTATCTCTATCTCCCTATCTCCCTCTATCTCCCTATCTCCCTATTGCCCTCTCTCTATCACCCCCTCCCTATTTCCCTGTCTCCCTCTAGTTCTCTACCTCCTTCTCTCTATCTCCCTATCTCCCTCTATCTCCCTATCTCCCTATTACCCTCTCCCTATTTCCCTATCTCTCTATCTCCCTATCTCCCTCTATCTCCCTCTCCCTATTTCCCTATCTCCCTCTCTCTATCTCCCTCTCTCTACCTCCCTATCTATCTCCCTATCTCCCCATGTCTCTATCTCCCTCTCTCTCCCTCTATCTTCCTATCTCTATTTCCCTATCTCTATCTCTCTATCTCCCTATCTCCCTCTATCTCCCTCTCCCTATTTCCCTATCTCCCTCTAGCTCCCTATCTCCTTCTCTCTATCTCCCTATCTCCCTATATCTCTATCTCCCTCTCTGTCTCCCCCCACCTCACCTATGCTCTCTGGCAAATCAAGAAGGAAAAAGACAAAAACGAAGACAAGACCACATTGGGGCCGGCAGGTGGAGTGGTGGTTAGGGCGCTGAACTCCCACAGGGCTGACTGTTGTTGGAGTCCCAGACCGGGCGGCTTGACAACCACACTGGGCACATGTGCGTGACCAAAATCCTGGGAGGAGAATGGAGGAGAAGGGACTGTGGCGTGGCCATCGCCCCTGGGGAATGAGTTCTCACTTTCTCTGCGTCTCTGTCGCTCTCTAGCCAGCACATATTCCTTATGGCAAAAACTCAAGATAAAAAGAATAAAGAAAAGACCCCACCCCACAGGCTTAGGCTGGTTATGTTAAAAATTGGGGGCAGGGGTGCAGGCAGCAGGTAGTGTAGTGGTCAAGGCACCGGATTCCCACATGACCAACCATGGTTCGAGTCCAAGACCTGGCACCTTGAAACTGGTGCCAGATGTGTGTGCATGCCTGCCCAAAATCCTGAAAGGAGAGCGGAAGAGAGGGGATTGTAGCATGGCCAGCCCCCTAGGGAGTGATTTCTTGCTGTCTGTCTCCCTCTCTCTCTCTCTGGGTCTCTGGCGAGTGCCCATGCCCTAGAGCAAAAATCTCTCCTCTTCCCCTCACCAAAAAATAAAAAAGCATACGGTGGGAGAACGTGGATGGCAACCACCTCAGAGTAAGTACGGGAGGACCCTGGATGCCCCGGCGCGGTGATGACAGCAGCTAGGCCGCAGGGGTGCCAGGGTCCTGAGCGAGCCACCGCACGCAGTAGTCTCCCGCTATCCGACCACGTTGTGCCCACAGACATGGACGACCACACGCTAACGAGAAGAGGCCTCTTCCGAGCCGAGCGTTTCGTTTTCTTGCTCGATCCTCAGGAATTAGTTCCAATGGTGACACCGACACCAGCCGCTACTTGTTGAATGTCCCTGAGCCCAGATGTTCCTACACCCCCTCCTCTCACCCCCCAGAGCTCTGGGACCCGGGCACGGCCACACTACTTCAGAGAGGAGAAATGAGGTTAACTCACCCCCTGAGATCACACAGCCAGGAACTCAGACAGGTGGCCTTCAAAAATCTCTTGGATTCCAGGTCAGCCCTGTGGCCTGGGACCAGCTCCCAGTTAAGAAGACCAGACCCCACATGGCTGCCCAAGGTTCAAATCCCAACCCCAAGGTTTGAGAAACAGGCTGAGCGTGGGTGCCCAAAACCCTGATGAAGGAGAAGCGGAGGCGAAGGCACTGGGGAGCAGCACGCCCCACAGGGCGCTTCCTCCCAGCCCCCTCACCCCGTCTTCCTCAGCACACATGCCCCCGGCAATGAAAAGGCAAAGCAATCTCCTGGGTCCGAAGCTCTGAGTGACGCACCCAGCACGGCTTCTCCACGGACAGCGGCGCAGAGGGCTCCTGAGAGAAGCTGACCTCACATCTGACGCAGCCCGTGCCCCTGGTTACGGTGTGTGTCCTGAGTCCCAGGGACAAGGCCAGTGGTGACGTCGGTGGCGGCTGTCACATCCTTGTTCTGTGCATGCCAACCAGTGGACAACAGTCACCACTGAGCGTGCAGTAAAAACGAAGCCACAGACAGAGGCCTGCCTCTCCCTGACGTGCCCTGAGGTGTGACTCGAACTCCAGGCTGCCCCAGCGTCCAGGCTGAGGCTCCGGGGGCCACCTAAAGAAGCACTGATGCGTTCCTTTTTTTTTAAGTTTTTGTTATATGGCACATGTGCTCGCCAGAGACACACAGAGAGAGGTAAAGTGAGAAATCAGTCCCAGAGGGGATGTCTACACCACAGTCCCTAATCCTCCACTCTCCTCCTGGGATTCTAGGAACACACATACATGCATCTGGCATGATTTTCAAGCCGCCGGGTCTGGGACTCGAACAGCAGTCAGCCATGTGGGATCTAGTGCTTAACCTCCATGCCAGCAGTGACGTATTTTAATGGACTCTTTTCTCTGCAAATCCTTCCCGCACCCTCCCTCACCACCCTCAGACACGAGCCACACCTATTTCCTGCCTAGCGACTGGAGCGCGTGGACAGAACTCACCTCCCAATGGACGCGATGTTGCCCAGCGTGTAGAACACCGCGAAGAGGTGCAGGCCCTTCCTGGGCACCCAGAGCAGGAGCGTCCCCTGCAAGTCGGAGCACGGGTGTGGGCCCTGGGGTGGAGGGCCCTGTCCCCTTCCTCCCTCGCCTCCCTCTCCTCTGGTCCCAGCTTCAGGGAAGGGCGGTAGAGAAAGGGAGGAGATGACGGGGAGGACAGAAAGGAGGGCCGGGAGAGGCAGAGGAGGCGACCTCACCAGCAGTGAGCAGAAAATCCCGATGGCGAAGCAGGCGATGAAGCCCTTCACTCTGGTGCCCCAGCTTAACGACGATGCCTCGACAGCCTGGAATCACAAAAAGCCACGGACTGGGCACACACGCGTGTTTACCAGGAACGGAGGGAGGATGGGGTCGCACGCGGCAGCAGTGAATGGGGAAGGCAGGGGACACGGCCCCGCCTATTCGCAGTGGGACAGTCATGGCACCCAGCCCCACCAGCCCCTCTCCCGAGCCGCCAGGCCTCTGGCAGGCCGGGCCCACTCCCGGAGCAGGAAGACCAGACAGCAGATGTTCCCGTGGACACAGCCTGGCCATGGCCAGCAGGACGAGGAGCACATGGGGAAGCCTGGAAATGCCGCCAGCGCCAGGCCGCCTAGGCCACCGGCCACATGCTCCATCAGCTGGCCGGGCTGCTCGGCTGCTCCCGTGGCACCTCTGGCCCTGGGACTGGGGCTGTCAGCTCGCCGGGACTCATCCTGGTGCAGGTGCTGTCCTCATGGTGTGCTGGCCTCGGCCAGTCCCCGAGGGAGACAGACCCCGGATGATTAACTACTGCCCTATGCGCTCCGGCTCTGCCATGAGTGAGCCCCTCCCCAGGCAAAGTCCAGGGAAGCCGAGACGTCCAGAGAAAAGACCGAAAGGGGAAACACGTGGGTTCCCTCCCAGGGCAAGCCGACAACCGAGGCCCTGCATGAGACCCTCCTGGTTGTCCTCTGATGAGGTGGCACAGCTGCTCCGGGCCGGACAGACAGCCCCCGCAGACCAAAGCAGGGCAGGGCTCCCCTGAGCGGCCAGCACGGCCCCCTGTGGCCACGCAGACAGACTGGCCCAGTGACCCACAACCCTCCATAGGCTGGAGGGAAGGCAGGTGCTGACGGAGGCTGTGAGGGCCCTGGGTGGGAGGCCCCCTCAGCCTGGACCATCCCCAGCTCAGGAGCGCATTCCCAGCCCGTCTGCAACTTCCCGTCCAACCAGAAGCTTGGACAGAGGCACCAGCGAGGCTGCCCAGGTGTGGCTGGCACTGCCGAGACCGGCCTACTCAGGAGGAAGGAATCCAGCCAGGTCATCGGGCGGGTCCTCCCAGACGTGCACACGTACTGAAACCCAGCTCCCGACCGCAGCCGTGGGCACACACAGCCTGGCAGACCACTGAGGTGGCCACAGCC